GCAGAGGGAGAAGGGTCCTGTGATTATCTGTGCGCGCTCAAAACGTTGTGGTCTAGAAATGAGGATTAGGAACAGAAAAGCTAAGGTACCAGCCCCTACTGATGGCAACTGACATCAGGCTGAGCTGACAGGAATGTATGCCCTGTGTCATGGAAGCATCGCCAGGAGGCTGTTCTGGGCGAGGCCGGACCCAGGGCTCCGCAGCGCGGCTGAGACCCCATGGCGCTCTCGCTGTGCTTTTCTGGACGGCCTGCTGATTTAGGGGCTCTGACATTTCTCTCCGTCCCTCACGCTCAGTGGCCAGGACGCACTGCCCAAGATGCCCTCTGGGGTTGGCCCGGACGGACTGCACCCCTTCTCTTCCCAGAACCGCCCTTGCCGGGCACGGTGAGGCTGGATGGGGAGCGCGTCCTGGGGTCAGGGACAGGATGTGGGCGTGCGGGCCTCTGCTCCAGCAGAGCCTGTGATCCGGACGGGGGGTGGTAGCCATACTGTGGCATGACGAGGGGTTCGATCATATGTAACCGTCACCGATCATTAAAGCTGAAGGACCGGTTTATGTGTCACAGGGATCTTAGGACTCAGTTCCCCAAATTTACAAATGCTGCAGCGGGAGCCCAGATTGTGGGGGCTCGCCCAGCGTCACTCAGCCAGGAAGTGGCGGAATCAGCGCGGGACCCAGCCTCCTGGCCCCGATGGCCTGTGGTGCCGAGGCCGCCGCCGCAGTGGGACAGCATGACGAGGGCTGGTGCTGGCGACCTGCCGCCTGCACTGTCATGTCTTCTTCTCAAGGAAAGGCCAGGCCGGCAGGGGTGTGTTTTGTTAGGAACGACAAGGCAGGGGCGCATTAATGGTGAGGCCAAGGCTGGGGTGGGGTGGGGTGGGGGAGGCTAGGGGGTCCCTGCTGTGGGGTGAGCCAGCCTTCCAGCCAGGGCAGTGCCGTGGCTGGCAGCATCTTGCTCAGAGGTGACCTTACCTGTCCCTGAGAGGGAAGCTTTTGACTTCTCATACTCAATTTTAAACACTTTTTTTTCAAGATTTTATCTTTGTTCAATAAGAGAGGAAGCAGAAAGGCTGGCTGGACTCCCGTGCCCAGCTGTGGTCTGGGCCCTGCTTCCTCATGAATCCTAGAGCTCTCACTCCTCGATGTCCATCGCCCGGCTGGTGAGCCCGACCTTAGCAGTCCTGACAGTGCTGACTCGGAGCCCATGAGTGTGGTCTTCGTGATAAGCTGTTGTTAAAGAGCTCAGACGTGGTCAAGCACTACCCAGCCGGGCACAGGTGCTCCCTGCCCTCTGGGCCGATAGGCATGGGTCTTTCCTTTGTGCCCCAGTCTTTCCCATTCGCCTTTGTTCCGGTGCCTTCTCACCGCATTGCTTGTTCTGTGACTGCATATCCTTTCCCACAGGACAGATCTCTGTGGTTCGAGTGCGGCCGGGGCCCAGGAGCACAGCTCGTCTTCAGGGTGCCCTCGGGGAAGCAGCTCAGGGTCACACGGCGATCAGTGGCAGTGGGGAGTTTGAATTCTGCTCTGAGTCCAGAGCCACCCCTACGGGGCCTGGGGGGTACTGTCCCATGCAGGCCCTGTGAGGGGACGAGTCGGGGCAGCACGGGCCCCTGTGGCAGGCATGGAGTGCAGAGGCTTCCGGGGTCAAGGGCATGTTGCTAAAAATAGCACTTAATGCTTGTTCTGACGGCAGAGCAACGCATGTTAGCCTATGCATGTGACGCACGTCTGTGTTGAGCTAAATGTTAACAGCACAAACCACAAAGAAGGAGAGAGTCAGTCTGTACTCTCGCCATCAGGAGAGAACCAGTCACTTCCAGGTCCTCTGTCACGGGGACATGCCTGCTGCCCACAGAACATGCAGGCAGCTCGCCCAGTCTGTCTTCGTGCCTCAGTGACGATGGCCCGTCCCCACCGCCGTCTCTCACCGCACAGAGTGGCGCATGCGTTACGTCCAGACGGGTCTGCAGCTTAGCCGAGCCTCCCTACCCCGGGCATTGAGGGGACTTCTGGGTTTTCATTACCATAATCAACGCCGCAGCGAACATTCTCTGATTGAAATCTTTGTGCAGGCCCACGATTATTTTCTTAGTATAAATTTATTTTTAAAGTTAATGTTTTATCTTTCTCATCGGCTTGGAGTATTGATAAGAGAGTGAAAGTGGAAATCATTTTAATTCCTCGAAAATTTATCCAGAAAAGCATGGAGACAGCATGTTTAACTTTGCATTTAGTAGCTAAAATGCAGTATCTACCCTAATATACATAAAAACCTAAGCGACCGGTAGCTGTGATGCTCACTGACCACCAGGGGGCAGATGCTCAACACACAGGCAGGGAAACATGGAACAGACTGATGAATCTCATGCTCATTGAAAGGAAATTAATTAGAAGGTGGCTGACGAGGCGGGACTGGGCAAGATGGGCTGGACACGCCCTGGAGCCAACCTCCCGCGGTTCCTCCCCGGCGTCTGTGGAGTGAGCAGGGTCCCTCCGGCAGGTGGGGTACCTCGGCCTGTGGGGATCAGGTTGAAACCAGCTCTCCGACATCCCCTGAGGGGTCCCTGAGTGCGAGAGGGCACTCTGCAAAGTTGCTGTCGTACAGGGTGTGGAGTGCAAACGCAAGTGTGCAGTAACCAGATTCAGGACTGACAGTGCCCCAGCAACAACATGACCCACGGCCAGAGGTGGAATCGAGCAGCCCTGCGAGGAATCGAGCTCCCTCCTCTCTGGTTTCGGGGTGTGTCACCTGAGAACCGCTGAGGCCAAGTCACTGCAGCTCAGCAGCTCCTTCATTGAGCGTCTGCCCCTGGTGGTCAGTGCGCATCATAGCGACCTGTCAGATGGTCAGACACTTAGCATATTAGCCTTTTATATATGTAGATGTTATAGGATCAGAGGGTTGACAGCTGTTGGACTGGTTTTTAAAAAGAAGTTCAATGCCAAAACCGGTTTGGCTCAGTGGATAGAGCCTCGGCCTGCGGACTGAAAGGTCCCGGGTTCGATTCCGGTCAAGGGCATGTACCTGGGTTGCGGGCACATCCCCAGTGGATGTGCAGGAGGCAGCTGATCGATGTTTCTCTCTCATCAATGTTTCTAACTCTCTATCCCTCTCCCTTCCTCTCTGTAAGAAATCAATAAAATATATTTTAAAAAAATAAAAAAAAAATAAAAGAAGTTCAAGGTGTACTGGTGTACAGTCCCATCCCAGTCCTCAACTGTGGGGGAGGGGTGATGTGCCACGCCCACCAAGGAGTGGGCAGAGCTGGTCAGTCCCAGGCCCGCCCCTCCTTTCCCCACAGCCGTCCAGCAGGTCCCAGAGGCTCTGGGCCGATTTGCACTGCCCTGGATGACGCCCTGGCATGAGCTGCGGCCTCAGTGAGCCACCTGGCACAGAGCTTGGGGGTGTCTCATCTCGTTAGGACCAGGTATGGCGGGCCGTGTGATGTGGTTGCCATCCTAACAACACGGGGACGTCACGCCTGTCTGAGAGGAGCGTAGTGAGCTGGTTGTGCAGACCGTGCACTGTTAGCGGAACAGGAACACCACTGACGACGCTCCAGATGCCTTCGCTTCTGTCGCTGCTTTACCACGTGAGGTCCTGACCTGCTTGCTCTCTTTGTGTCTGTAGATCCACATCATAGATTTTGACGACGAAAACAACATCATAAACAAAAATGTCCTCCTCCACCAAGTGGGTGAAATCTGGCACATTAGCGCCAGCCCCGCGGACAAAGGCGTGCTGGCCACCTGCTACAACAAGAGTGAGTACCCAGCCTTTGGTCCACGCCGCCGAGGCGCCCTCGTGGGGTGGCTTTGTGTCACTTGTGGACTGGTGCACGATTTATAGGATCTGTGGTCAGGGGGGCCGCTGTGTCCACAGAGAGGCTGTGCTCCTGTGGGCCGATGGTGCAGGGGTGATGGAGTCCCAAGTCAATAGGCCTGGGAGCAGCTGTTCCTGGATCTGATCCCTCGGGGCGGGGAGGGGGGGCGGGCTGGAGGTCCTGGGATACAGGACGGCAATTAGCGGCACCGCCCAGGAAGGTGCAGGGCGGCGTCTTCCCTGCTGCCTGTGTGTGTGATAGTGGCTCAGCCATGCCTGTCAGTGCGCTGCTACCTCTCCTCCCACACGCGCTGGGTGTTCGTGTCCGGGGACCTTGCACACGGTGCCGGCCCAGGCGTCTGTGACACGCCTCCCTTCATCCTCCCCTCGGTCATCGCCAACAACCAGCGCTCAGATTCTGCCTTTGGGGAAGTCGCCCGCTTTTCCTTTTCTGTACGTGGGCCCGCGTAGAGCCTTCTGGGTTTTGCGAGAAGTTTCTAAAATGTTTTCTTCCTTTGTCCAGGGAGCAGGACGCTCGTTAGCATCTGTCACCTTAGACGGCATCACACGCTCACCCTCCTTCCCGTGGGCTCCGGAATGTGACAGTGGGGGCGTCTCCCTGTTTCTGTGGGCTCCAGGTGCCGTTCTGGAACCCGAGGGCTGCCCTTCTGCGTCATAGAACCCTGCGTGCGCCTCCTCTATCCCCACCCCCTGGTCTGAAAACACGTCTCTTCAGGGCAGGAGGATGGTTTCTGAACGGCCTTTCTGCCCTGATTCTCTGTCTCTTTTCTTAGCTTTTCACTGCGTCATTGGTTGATGGGGCGCAGCCTCCCGGGACCCACGCTAAGGCCCTTTCTTCCTTCGTCGTCCGTGTCGGAGGAGCTTCTCCAGGGAGGCCCTTCCTCCTTTGTCCTTTGAGGAAAGTCACTTCCTGTGCTGTGGTCTCTGACGGCTGGGGCACCACCTCCACCTTCCCGCGGCCTGTTTGGGATGGAGACGTACTCTGTACTTGTGTGGGAGCAGCTTTAACTAGTTGATCACGTACGTGCCCTCCCCGCTTGGTGTGGATGGTCTGCGGGTCTGTGGCCCTGACAGCCATGTGCTCCATCCCCCGGGTGACATTCACCGTCCACCTCCTCCAGCCCTTCTCTGGTCCCCGTGGGGGGAGGGGGACAGAGGCACGGCCTGAGCAGTTCCTACTTTCCAAGCTCTGCTCCCCTCCCTGCCCGGGAACGGCAGCGCGTTGCAGGCGGTGAGTGACCTCAAATTCCCCCCTCCGTCATCACCGTGTGCAGCCTCGCTCACCTCTGTCCTGGCTCACTGACAGGCCGTCACTGCAGTCGTCTAAGCTTAACCATCGTCTGACGATGGTGAGAAATCGGGTCTCGGCGTCAGGGTGGTGGTGGGCTTTGTACACTCAGTACATTCTTCCGGAACTTCTACATGGATGAAGGTTTTAAAAAAAACACCTCTAGTTTTTCTTTCTGATAACTTTACAAGAAGAATGTGTCAATGTGGAAGCAAGAGGAGGGCAGGAGGGAGGGCGAGGCTACACCACGGTCGTCGGCAGCCTGGAGTCTGCACAGGGCGGTGACGGAGCGGCTCCCGGGCGATGGGCCGAGCTCCCTGCAGGCAGAAGCACACCCTCATGGTTGCCGACGTCCCCCGGGGGCCAGGCCTCTGAGCCCGGGAACATGCTGTCACTCAGGGAAGTCACACTGGATCCTGACACCCGCCCCTCCCACGTCCACTTCAGATCTGTGAGATCTGCATGGGCACTCGGACTCCTAGGTTCAGGTCCGCACAGGTCTCCGGTGCTTTGGGAAAAAAGCATCCTATATAATAAAGAGCTAATATGCTAATTAGACCGAACAGCAGAACGACCATCCGGACGACCTTCTGGATGAAGCCGGGGCTGTGAGGGCTGAGCAGCCGGTCTGCGGAGGCCGAACCCCTTGCACAGATTTCGTGCATCAGGCCTCTAGTGTTTCAGATCATCTTTAATGGACTCTTTAAAAACTATGGCTTTACTACCTTCATTTCCTTTTTTTCTTTATGATTTTGTATAATCATTTCAATGACCCTTTGACATAGGAATTAGTCTGTCCAGTTTACAGATGAGGTAGCAGAGGCTCAGAGAGGCTAAGCTACTTGCCTGGTGTCACACAGCTTCTAAGTGGCAAAGCAGAGGTACATCTCTGTGCCCGATCCTCACAGCCTTCCTGCCAATGGAACTTGAACAGACCACCTAGAGCAGTGGTTCTCAACCTTCCTAATGCCGCGACCCTTTAATACAGCTCCTCATGTTGTGGTGACCCCCAATTTCATTGTTACAAATTGAACATAATTAAAGCATAATGATTAATCACAAAAACAATATGTAATTATATATGTGTTTTCCGATGGTCTTAGGCGACCCCTGTGAAAGGGTCATTCGAACCCCAAAGGGGTCGCGACCCACAGGTTGAGAACCGCTGACCTAGAGTCTCGGTGTCATATTAGCATTTCCTCTTTTTCTGAATTAGAAATGGTTCACACCGTTGCTTCTGTCTGTTGTGTGCTGTGTGTCTGTTATGTGTGAGCATCTGTTGTATTTGCCTGTCACATGGGTCATGTGTGTGTCATGTGTATCTGTTGCATGTGTTTTGTGTGTGCCTGTCTTATCTACGTGTTGTGTGTATCTGTCATATGTATGCTGTGTGCGTACCTGTCTGCGGGGTGTGTCGTGTGTCTGTCATGTGTTGTGTATGCCGTGTGTCTGTTATGTGTGTGTTGTGTGTGTCGTGTCTGTTGTGTGTGTGGTGTGTGTGGTGTGGGTGCACATGTGGTGGCTGGCTGTACCCATGGCGCCTCTTGGGCAGCAGGGGGCGCCAGCGTCCTCTCTGTGCCTCTCTGGTCCTTCCCACCGCCCTCCCTCCGCCCGTGGGCTGTGCCCTTGGCCTGATCCGTTTGCCAAGCTTTCTGGCTCTTCCCAGGCATTTCTCTAAATGTTGCCACAGACTCGCAGACCGTGCTGGATGCACACGGCAGAATAAGGCTCCCTGCTGGCCTCTCGCTGACGTGACACGGGCATGGGGTGCCTACCTCATGGTCTGGGTGCCCGTTCCCTAACCCCACACCCAGGCCCCGGGGACCTGCTCAGCCCCCGGCCCCCCTGTGGCGGCAGCAGCTAGACCCCCAGGCGGTGGGTGAGCCGCGGCTGCCTGGGGGGGTCTTCGGGCGTCTCCCAGATGAGGGTGGATTCGCCTCCGCTCCCTGGGGTTCGGGTCCGTAGATGGCTGTTGTGAGCACATGCTGATGAGAGGAGCCAGGACCTCGGGGCTTGTGTGATGACAAGGAGCCTGGGCCAGGGGGACGTGTGGGCTTCACCAGGATCTCCGCCCTGAGGGGTGAGGGAGCGTATGGCCGCGCTGCCACCACCAGGAAGCTGTGGGGATGCTCTGAGCCCCACTAGCTCCGGCTGCACCTTCACGCTCACAGATTGCATGTCACCTGGGGGGAGGTTCTGAGCCCGGTTCCTGCGACGCCCTAGAGCGCCCAGAGCGGTCAGAGCACAGCAGTTCTCTCATACGGCCTCTCCTGACACAACCACAATTGGGCGATAAAACGATTGAGATTCCTTTGGCGAACGGAGGCAGGAGCGGCAGGGAGAGCGTTGGAATCCATGGAGACTCTGCCCCCTGGTCTGCGGACGACAGGAGGGAGCCCGGCTGCACCCACAGCCGCTGTCTCTGAGGCACACGCTGCCGTCTGGGTGCACCCCCCTCCGTGTGTTCTGCAGGTACGGAGGGTGGACAGTGCTCAGCCAGGGGAGAGGGGGTTTCTTATCATCCGGGGCCAAGAAATTCACCTTGAAAAGGAGGAGTTGGGAAGTGATGGCAAGAGAACCGCCCCTTGGAGGCCTCTTGGAGGCTCACCCACTGCCTGCGTGTCGTGCGTGTCGAGGGTGTGCTGTGTGTGCTGTGCATGTGGAGGGTGTGTGTGGGGTGTGTGCTGTGCGTGCTGTGCATGTGGAGGGTGTGTGCTGTGTGTGCTGTGCGTGTGGAGGGTGTGTGCTGTGTGTGCTGTGCGTGTGGAGGGTGTGTGTGGGGTGCGTGTGCTGTGTGTGCTGTGCATGTGGAGGGTGTGTGCTGTGCGTGTGGAGGATGTGTGCTGTGCGTGTTGTGCATGTGGAGGGTGTGTGCTGTGCGTGTGGAGGGTGTGTCTGTGCGTGTGGA